GGAATGAACAAGCTTTACTTAAATTAGCAGTTTCTCATTTCCACTCTATTATCTCTGTCAATGTCTTCCTCAGTAAAGTCAGTATTAAAATCTACTGAGTTGAATGAAAACATAACTGACAGAGAAGAACAGAATAAAGAGGCTGCAGTAAGGGGGAATCTAACAATTATTATCCTCATTTCCTCACATTAAAAAATAATTAAAGTGAAATATTATAGTCTGGTAAATGGAAGTGACATTAGAATTACTTTCCTCGTCAGTGGTTTAGATCAGCCATTCTCAACAGGGGCCATGAGACATTTTAAGGGGCCACAGACTGAAAAATGTGAAAGGGGGATTCTCTAATCAACTGTATGCATTGTACCCTTGTTTGACAGAGGGCCCTGGAATCTGAGAAAAGCTCCTAAAAAGGGCCATGGTCAAAAAAAGGTTGAGGATCCTTGATTTAAAAAAACATTTCACATTTCTCTCCATTACAATTGGTAAGGACTTTCCAAAGCTACAAATATAATTCCACTTCAAAATTAGATACTATACACTACTTGGATATTCAAGACAAAAGACACTGCATGTAGGAGAAATGATGTAGACTGAAGCTGCTTAATATAAATTCTTGGAAATAACAAGGCAAATTTATCCAATATAGAGTAGGAAAATTAGCCTCATTCTATTTTACATCACTATTCTCTTCTCTTAGCATAACACATTGTAGAGTATAAGACTGTGGCACTAATGCCACGACTTAAAACCATCATCTAAGCTTCCTGGAGATAGCTATGCTACATATTGCTGAGTGCATGGAGTAGTCTACTGGACCACAACCAAACCCTTTAATCATTCCTATTAATTAGCTGTAATTCACCACAGATTTATGAACTTAGGTATTAATTCTTTGAATAGGCAGGTATATGGCTTTGCAATGTAATATCAAGATGCATCATACTCCTATTAATTTACAGATTAAAGAAACCATAAAATGTTCTGAAAATACCAGAATTGAAGAAGAAAAGCTTGAAAAGGCTATCTGATGACATGAGAAATATGTCATCAAAAAGTATGCAGACTGCCTTTCAATATGAACATCACAAAGAATGTTGAAGCATACTGAGCTACAGTATCAGTTCATTCCCCAGTAAAACAATACTTTACAACAACTGGGAAATAAGGCCCAGTTAATTCAATGGTGTCTACCTCTCAGCAGCCATGTTTAGGATTGCACTGTAAGTAACCCCCATGACAAGAAGGAAAATCAGTATCCAAACAGGGGAGAAATTGAAAAGGATAAAACAACATCTATTACCTACACTCTTTTCATGAAGGGGATTCACAATGGAAGGATATCAGGCACACCTACTTGCAACAGAAGAGACTATGAAAGCAGTCTCAGAGCAGAGTTTTCACCTTACAGTGGTGCCTCGCTTAACGATAAATCTGCATAGCGACGAATTTTTGTGATTGTTTTTGCGATGGTTTAGATAGGAAAATATCGCTTTGCAATGATTGGTACCGTTTTGTGATGATTTTCCAACAGCTGATCGGCGGTTCCAAAATGGCTGCCGGGTAAATAAAATGGCCGCCTGCTGTGTTTTTGCCCGGATTCCTCGCTTACCAGGCAGCGAAAATGGCCGCCGTATGGAGGATTTTCGCTTAAAGGTGAGTTTTTTTGCCCATAGGAACGCATTAAACAGGGTTTAATGCATTCCTATGGGCTTTTTATTTCCACATAGCGACGAAATCGCTTTGCAGCTATTTTTGCTGCACGTGCTTGCCCAGCAGGTGAACAGGCAGTGGAAATGCACTGGGGAAGCCTCTGAAACCTGCGCATTGCCGGGGTGAGGTGGATGGGGGTGTGGCAGAGGTAGGCCCACCACCCTCCCAGAGGCCCCCCCGCGGCAAAGCGGGGCTTTCAGAGGTGCATTTTCACTGCTGAAAAAGCCCCAGGAGGCTTCTGAAAGCGACTCTTTGCTGGGGTGGGTGTGGGTGTGGCAGGCCCGCCACTCCCCCAGAGACCCCCCTCACGCCGGATTCGTCGTTAAATGGGGCGCCTGTTAAGCGAGGCACCACTGTATTTTAAATAAATAAAATAAATTTAAGTAGCTTCAGATTTCTGAAATGATTATAGAAATGCAGACAAGGCTGAAAAATAAAACTGATGAAAAGGTATGTGTTGAGGAGAGGCGGCGGAAGTGTACAGAACACAAATGCGTAACATAACATTTTAATGCGAGAACAAAAGTTCACTAGCATATATAAATAGCAATTAATATATTAAGTGTTGCTACATTTCTGTTGTGTATGTCTACTGATAGCAACACATGCCTCAACAAACACACAAATGTATTTGAAGGTCATGGATGCAATAAAAGAAGGGTGGCAGGTAGCCAAGAGGCTAACTCATCTGATGCTATATTACCTTATCATAGACTATATATCGAATATGTTGCAGTACTACAAAGTGTAGTGCTAATTCATTTGATCATCATATGAAGCTATTTCAATTGATGATCAAAGTACTGTAATCTATGTACAGTAAGAAATACTGCTTTGGATAAAAAGAATGGGGTTTCCCCTCCAAAGTTAAGGAGCTACAGCCCAGCTCTGCAAATTTTTATACCATCCACATAAACTAACCTTTTTCCTTAGATTTCCTGTCTTGTTCTCGGTCTCTGCTTTTGCTTCTGTGCTTGTAAGATTTCCGATCCCGGCTCTTCGAGCGCCTTCTGTCCCTGCTCCGTGATCTGTGTTTTCTGTCTGACCTATCATGGCTTCTGCTTCTGCGTCTGTCTCGACTCCTGGACATTAAAAGAAAAAAGAAGAAAAACAACAATGAAACAGTTGTCAAAAGCATTTCCATACTGAAATTTGTAATAATTTTATCTGAAAACTTATTAACTCAAGGAGGCATCTTATTTTCCATTTCTGAACATAGCTTTACACAAAACACTTGGTAATAAAGCTTATTTCATTTCATATGAATGCAGTGTCTTTACTTATTTCCCAAGGAAGTACCTGCTTCGTCTTCTCTCCTTGCTTCTTGATCTTTTATGGTCCCTTGACCGACTTCCTCGCCTGTCAGAAGTTCTGCTCGAATGTCTGCTTCGTGAACGACTCCTCTTCCTTCTTTCTCTATCACGAGCTCTCTCTTTTTCCTTTTCTTCTTCCTCACGACGCCTTTTTCTTTCTTTTTCTTCCCTTTCACGTTCCCTCTCTCGCTCTTCCCGTTCTAGTTTCTCTTTTTTTAACCGATCATCACGTTCAGGCTCTTCTGTTCTTTTTCTTAATTTCTCCTTTAAAAGGGAAAGAATTCCACAAATTGAAGGAAATACAATCTGGCTGACAAAAAAACATGGCTTAATTTTACATAACATTTAGGCACTGCACATTAAGACAGTAAATTATGTTGACATAGTAGCTTTTACAGAAACCGCAGCTTGCAATTATATAGGTCCCTCTCTCAGTCTTGCTGCCTTTATAAGCTTCCTTGGTGAGCAAACCAGGAGGATTTTTCGATGGCTGCTCCCTGGTTATGGTATGCACCTTGAAAAGCCATGTTGCCTCCCTCTCTCTTTTCTTTCTGTTGGCAAAGAACTTCCTTTTAGGTAGCTCTGACCAGGCAAATGGAGGGCATTATGGAATGCTCTGTTTATTAATTGGGGGACGTATGTTCCTAAGTATTTTTAAACAGTGTGTTTTAAATATCATTACTTCCTTGTTTTTCAGTATTATATTTTTAATCGTGTTTATGATGTCATTTTAATCGACTGAGCCACCCCGAGACCACTATGTGTTGAAAAGCAATAAATAAATATTTACAAACTCAAAACATTCCTTAAAGAGGACTACAATACAGGGATAAGTGCAAAGTATTGCACCTTGGAAAAAGAAACCAAACATACAGTTACAAGATGGGGGATACTTAACTCAGCAATACTATGAACGAGAAGGACCTTGGAATCATCATGATCACAAGCTGAATATGAGCCAAGAGTGAGATGTGTACAAAAAGGGGAAATAATAATTTAGGCTGCATTAACAAAGTATAGTCTCCAAATCCCGCATGGTACTAGTTCCCCTCTATTCGGCACTGGTTAGGCCTCATCTTGAGTATTATGTCCAGTTTTGGACACCACACTTCAAGAAGGGTGCTGACAGATTGTAACAAGTTTAGACAAAGGCAACAAGGATTATCAGGGGGATGGAGACCAAGCCATATGGGGAAAGACAGCAAGAACTTGGCATGTTTAGCCTTGAGAAAAGAAGACTGAGGGGAGATATGATAGCACTTTTCAAATACTTGAAAGGCTGTCATACAGAGGAGGGGCAGGATCTCTTCTCGATCATCCCAGAGTGCAGGACATGCAACAATGGGCTCAAATTACAGCAAGCCAGATTTTGGTTGAATATCAGGACAAACTTCCTAACTGTTAGAGCAGTAAGACAGTGGAACCAGTTACCTCGAGAGGTGGTGAGTACTCCAACACTGGAGACATTAAAGAGAAATTTAAACAGCTACCTGTCAGATCTATTTGTATTTATATTTCTGCATTGATTCAATGGCCTTATAGCCGCCTTCCAATTTCATTATTCTATGGTCCTATTGTTCTATGATTAATTAAAGACTGTTTGGAACTGCTTATTTCAGGTAAGAACACTGAAATAACATGATGGGTTCCCATCACCATATTTTTAATACAAATTACAGTATTAATATACTCAGTACAAGAAGAGAGATATGCTGAACCTACTTTTAATTCTTCAACCGTAGCTTTAATTTTAGCATAACCCATATGCTGTTTTCCCATCAAATGGTCATCTACCCTGGACTGTGCGTCTCCTACAATTAAAAAGGCTCCACAGACTTCACAAACTTCCATTTGCTTTTCTTGAGCTGCAAAGCTCTCAATTGTCTGGGGAAAAAAAAGAAAATGTTCACTAACGAAGGCAATGACACTGAAGCTTTAATGACTACAACCCAATCACATATTTATGTCAATGATATTCCATTAGTAGAAATTTCTGTAGAGAATTGCCACACGTTTTGAATTTGGGGTAGCATTTGCTATAGTACACTGAGTGACATATCTGATGTGCAACAGCAAATGCTTATGCTAACTTCTTAACTTGTGACAATTCATTTCTGAAATGGGTGTACCAATGTTCCAGGTACTGTATTTTTTAAAAAATTAGCAGCTTATTTTTTCTAGTTCTACCCCACTTTTTGAATCACAAGCCACCCCAAACCCCACTCACTTACAACCTGCTAACACAAAACATGTTGATAAACTTAAACAAAAGAGACAATCTGCTTAACTTCATAGGTGTTTCAATGTTACTAGAACTCAATTTTTAAAGAATGCAACCAACATATTATTCAAATAGTGTGCTAGACATAACAAACAGGACAACAGGAATTTCTCTTACCAAGTTATGAGATGATGGGGAAATACTTCTTTGCTGTCACATTAAGGCTAATTAAACAGATCAGCTAGTTTTTATGGCTTCTACTTACTGAAGTTGTAGACCTGAGCAATTCTCTTTCTTCTTTCAACTGTTCAACAAGTTTCATCATGCCTTGAGCCTCTTCTACCTTTCCTTCAGAACCCAATTCTTCAATCTACAAGAGATTTTTAAAAAAGCTATTACCATCTTGATCTAAGCTTCTGACTATTTCTGTATTACTAAAAAAACCTTTTACCTGTTGCAGAAGTACATCAATTTTATCTGTTAAAACTTGAATCTTTTCTTCATTTTTACCAGTAGGTCCTGCTGCCTGCTGAATATTAGAACAGAAATGTCAGTAACCAGCAAGAAACAACATTACTATCTTCTATGTCTTATATGCTGCTAGTGTCAGAAAAAAATAAGTAGAAGATAAAATTTTGTGATTAAGTTTAATATGAAAATTCTATATTTCAACTTCATACAAACTAATCTGCCAAATAATAATACAATCATATACATATATAAACAGAGACAAACCCCCTAAGATCAACAGGCCTTGCTTTCAGGTAAATGTGTATGTGATTAAACTCAAAAATACATTGAGAATTTTCAGCTGGCTTCTCATGAATTAGAACAGTCAGGTAAAACTCATGCATTTAGTATACCAGCATGGGTATTTATGTGTTATTCTCTATGGTTTGCAAAATTACAAGAGCTAAGAAGGTAACATGAGAAAAAAAAGTTATTTGTGATGTTTGTTCTTCAAGTGCTCATCCAAACACCAATGCTAATAGGTTTGTGTGGAGTTATCCTTTTTTTAATATTTATTTTTTAACTTCTAGGAATAGGGTAGGGAGTACAAAAGCTAAAAGGCAGTGGGGGGGGAAGGGAAAAATTTGAGGATGGGAGAACACAGAATATACAATCATCCAAACTATTTATATTTCAATATCAAATCACCTTTCTGCTTTTTTAAAACTATTTTAAACCTAAGTTACTCCAGCACTGTAAGGAAACCGAGACCATTTGTAAAATACAGCCCATCGTTCAATTTTCTTTTGATTTGGACAGTCATTCAGCATGTCTGAAAGAATATCCCTTTCTGTGGCTTCGCATATTTTCTCAGTACGGAAACTCTTGTTTCCATAGCTCTGCTTTCTTCCAATTTTTGGAAGAGAAGAATGGATCCAAGACAGCAATCCAATTTTTAACATAATATTTTCTGACTGTAGTGGCTAAATAGTTCACTGGGTAACTCTTTATCCCATCTATATTACCTGGTACCTTACTCAATAAACACAGTTCTGGAGTTAGTACAATTTTGTTTAACTGTTGATTAACATCTGATAACTTCTCTTTCATCAAATCTTCTATCTGGCTGAGACGCTCATTTACTTGCTGAAATCCTGTTATTATTATCTTTTGCATGGTAATCTGCCATTCTTCATCTGATTTTTTTGCCCCTATTCCCAAATTTTGAGATTGGTCAGACAAAGTCCCCAACATTTGATATTTTAATTTTTTCAAGGCCATTTCAATCTTTCCAATAAGTAGAGTCTGTATAAATAGTACTATATCCTTGACCAAAGTAGCCAACCCACGAATATCTTTCCGAAATTTCCACTATTTTATCAACAAACCCAACCTACAATCATAAACCTCCCCTAGGTTCTTCCTCCCATACTTGCACAGATATTATAGTATATAAATCAACTTTTAGCCCAACAATTTAAATTACACCCATGGCAATATTATGAGTCCCACAGTCAGGCCAAAAGAAAAAAAAGAAAAATCCAGACTAAACAGCAGACACAGGGAGTCAGTCTCTCCAGTAGATATCCTTATAACCTGCCTGATGTTCTTTCCATTAATCCAAGGGTTCAATAACAGAAGAAAACTCCAGTCCTGGTTTTCCTAGCTCCTCAGTCTAGTCTATTGTGTCGTCTCACTGATGATTCACAGTCCAATTTCTTTCTTCCAAAAGCTTACTCCTCCTCCTCCAAAAACCCAGCAAGATTCTGTTATCAGAGTCCCACACAGTCTAGGGAGAAAGGTCCAGGCTAAACAGCATTCACAAAATTTCAGTCTCTTAAAGCCTGTTCATTGGGGTATTTCACTCTGGGATTTTTTTCGATAAACAAAAGATTTTTCCGTCTCACTGTCTCTCTCTTTGGCCTTGAACCAGCCTGCTGTTTAAGAGTCAGTTTCGCTTTTGAAGAAGCAGGCTGGTAAGCAAAATTCGCTGCTCCTTATCTTCTTTTGGCCAAGTATTTTCACTCTAATTTCTTTTTCAGCTTAATGGGGCTGTTCATAAATCAAAGACTTCAACTTACTTTGTTGTTATATATTTTCAATGCTGTACTGTATATTGCTTGTTCTCCTCTCCTCAGGGGGTGGGGGTGGAGTTGCTCACAGCTATTCTGCCAAGATGGCTCCCATATCAGATCCGTGCTCAGGTGAATTTTCAGAGGTAATAAATATCAGGTTGCTGCCCAATCTTCTTCCTTCTGGCGCTCACCAACTGCTTCAGAGACCTCTCCTGGTCTCCCCTTCGATCCCCCATTTCTAGAGGGACCCCAGACTGGGCGGTTCCAGCTTTTCCCGGGAGCTATTCCCGGAGGCTGCTGGCAGCACCACAACAAAGCTCCGCCTCTGCAGAGTTATCCTTTCAGAAAACTTGAAGAAAGTGTGTTTTGCCAGCCCTGCCTCTCCATTATACCACACAATCACCAGTATTCAAACCCTGAGTTCTATACATTCAGAAAATTTACTGTTAAAGCATCAGTTACAGGCATGTATCAAAGAGTTGGGGAAAGGATGGGCCACATGAAAGGACAGGCAACCACTTGAAGAACAAATTTTACAAACAACCACCTGATTTTCTTTGTTGTAGTCTCCATGCATTCACGTTAATAGGCGAACACTAGTGAACTCACCTCCAAAACATAAGAAGTGGAGGCAAGAGAGAGGCACTGCAAAGAGTATACCCTCTTGAAGAAAGTGACTCTCAAGGATCTGGTGTCCTGTTGATAAAGCTGGATAAAACTGAACACCTGGAACTAGGTAGCAGCTTGGAATAACCAGGGAAGGAAAGTTATCTTAGAAATTCTGCTCAGATAATCATAGTTTTAGTGTATTGACTCTTAGGAATTTCTGGCACCAATATAGTGGCCTTTCAATATGCAAGCATGAATGACTTTACTATCCACATGGAGAATCTTTTGAGTGGAAATAATCTGACTTTTTTTTAAGGTCCAGAGTGTATCACAAAGTCTTGTGGATTGTCTATACAGAAATGCTCTCTCAATGTGGAACACGTATGTTCTTCTCACGTCCAGGGAATACTTTTTCTATGGGATGAGGAAAAGCCTAGAGGTAGAATGACCTGAGCTGATTGTAATTTTTAGTAAGAAATTTAATTTGGCCAAAGCACAATCTTTCTCACCTATCTAGAGATAGGACAGATTCTGTTGAATAGCCCGCTCAATGAACCATTGTCATGAGCTGAATCAAAGGAACAAAAGTCACTGGTTCAAATGAGCTTTTATGAGTTAAAACTAAAGACTTCAATGTGGAACTAGTGAATGCACATGTGGGAAATGATGATGCATTCCTGGTATATATTTCTGAACTCCAGGAATGGTAAGCAGAATAAACCCTACTGGCAGGGGTTACATAAGCTGAAAGGGCAGTTCAGTAAACTTCAATGGAAGACAACGGCAAACCCTTGTTTAATAACAGAAGTAAAAAAATAATATGAAAAATGAAGTTATTTGGATCAAAGGTACTGATAACAATTTTCTTTAGGTATGTAGTGGAGAAACTTTCAGTGGGAAGAATGAAGAGCTACATGAAAATAAGCATCTTTCAGATCTATAGTTCAACCAATAATCTTCCCTGATTCAGGGGAGCTCAGCCACAGCCACTATTCTGAGGCAATTCATACTAATGTAAGCAGTGACATCTCACAGATCCAGAATAAGTCTGACATCTCCATTCTTTGTTGGTACAGTCAACCTTCGACTTACGAACGGCCCTAGTTACAAACATTTCAACTTACAAACCGCTCTGATAGAAAAATATTGACTCAACTTGCAAAATTAGATTCGACTTACAAACTGAAAAAAACGCGTGGCAGGTGGGGAAAGCGCAAAATTTGAACTTTCAGTTAACCATTGGCCAGTGAAGAGGGTGCCTGTATGCTTCCCTGCTCTTCCCAGCATTTTGAGAGTGGATTTGGAGACAGTCTTCAGACTGCCTGGTACTGCCTAGTATTGCCTGTTACAGTGCTGTATGGACTGTTTTTTAAGGCTTTTTTTAAAAAATTGTTTTTTAAAAGGTGTTCCCTCTCTCCTTTGCTGCTCCCCTTTTCCCCAAAAGGTGCTTGTATTGGCTTTTCTTGATTGAAAACGTGCTTTTCAAGGTGATCTGTTGTCTGAAAGGTGCTTGGTTTTTTCCAGAAGGTGCTTGTCTTGGCTGAAAAGGTGCTTTTCAAGGTGTTCTGCTGAAAAGGCTTCTGCTCCCTCCTCCCTCTTTTCTTTCCTTTATTTCAAAACCTAAGCCATTTTAGGTTAAAAAGGGGAAAAAAGAAGAAAATTCTGCCCCTAGTGGTATGGATGGATTAACCGGCTTTGCATTAGTTCCTACGGGAACTAATGATTCAAGTTACAAACCGCCCCTCAACCTAAGAACCAAAAACAGCGGGGACGGATTAATTGGTTTTCAATGCATTCCTATGGGAAATGTTGATTCGACTTACGAACCTTTCGACTTACAAACTTCCTTCTAGAATGGATTAAGTTTGCAAGTTGAGGGTTGACTGTAGTCTAAACTTTAAAGCAGCACTGAAAAGTACCAAAAGCAGCAACCAATATAGTGAGGAACAGCCTCAAGAAGTGTGTTTCAACAGGGGTTCAGACAGCAGCTGAACAGATCCTGTGGGTGGTAGGCAACTGAACTCTATGATACTGAACTTTAGCAAGCACCTATCAATTAATATCAATGTTTTTCCAGACTTGAATATGTTGTGGAAGCCTTGACCCAAAGATGGTTTCAATATTGAGATGGTGGTTAAGATGGTAACAAGTACTCCTGGTAAGTTCAGCAGTGCAAAGGGAAGCAAAATGCTGTCATGCCTTTCCAGTTCTCAACACAGTTTATTTTGTTTATCTCAAGGTATCAACAGAGATGTGTTGGTCAAAATTCATGTTTTCCCTCTGTAGATTGTTGTTTGAACTTGGAAGAGGAACTGTAGGGTGTCTGGAGGAAGACTGTTGTGGTCTGGTGCTATTCTGCTGGAATTTATAGTAGGCAAGTACATGTGTGATACTGATGGAATGCTGGTAGAAGAACTCCCATACATCATGCAGTAGTAGCCAATTTGTGTTCTCCACCTAATTTTTCATCTGTTTTAAGTGAAGAAGCCATGGACCTCAAAACGAATGTCAGCTATCTCGTCTCTATCCACTTGTGACAAAGATATGAAACAGAGCCAAGAATGATGCTGCAAGGTGACTACTCCTTAAAGGATCACTGGAGAACATTAGGCTGTATGCCATGCTGAACTAATTTGATGTTCAGCCACATTACATGCTTCCCAGAGAAAGACTGTTGCTACTTGTTTCTCATCATATGGTAGGTGGCCCATGAGAGCACCTCCTTCTCCCAGAGAAACATCTGATATAATGTCAGATGTACTTGTTGGTTTGCAATTTTTAGGCTGAATGCTACTCCAGAATAAGCCTGGTGACCTAACAGATGTCTCTCTTCTTTTCTCTGGAGGCAGAGGTGTGGCTTTTTTCACAAAGGAGGCTGTCAAATCAAATTTGGCAAAGGATGGTGAAATAAAAACTTGCAAGCTTCTTTCTTTGGACTTCATAAATTATCCAAATGACAAGTTGATAGTGGCTTCTGACATATTACCTTCAAAAATTTAATCAACGATGAAAACTAGAGAAAGACCTCTGATGCACAGTTTGGGATCCAAAACCTAAAAACATGGGGTCTTGCTTTGGTTGTTCCTGCCGACAGTAATGTATGTTCAAACACCTGGCAAGTCAAGTTAGGCACCTAGAATGTTATAACAACCTGAGAAAGTGATAGTGGGTCACTGGCCAACACCAGTGGATCCGGGGGGGTGATGATTATGGTTGTGCAGCAGATGATACCAAGCTGTCATCCAATTCAGTATTGATTCCAGAATGTTGTAATGAAGGTCAGTGAAACACCTTCCCCATCTGGATTAGCAGCAGGGGCACATCCAATAAGTCAAACTGAAATTATCTGGAACCACCTGAGCAACCAAATATGTTACTAGTTGTGAGACAACTGTGCATGTTGGGACACATATTGGGGCAGACATAGTCAAGGTAGTAGTAGAGGTTGGTTTTGAACTATATTCAAGTTACCAATACTTAAGTGGGCACAATCAGTGCTGCCAATATTGATATCAAGGAAGATTATGACACTGCTGAAATAGTTTTGTACCCATCTGTACTTAACTTTCTAGGCTTCTGATGATAAAGGGACTTGAGCAGTGGGCACCAGTGCTGCCCTTGATATGAAGGCTGGTAACTTTATCATGGTGATGATGAGTACCATCCTCTGTGGAAGCAAGATGACTTTGATTGGGGCCTGTATGAATGCTATCACGAACTCCCATATTGCGAGTACCCAGGAACAATGAGAAATTGCTCATGTTTAACTGACGTAGTGGGTTTGCTATTATCAATAAGGTCACCAGAACCAAATCTGAATGAACAGAACATATATCTGTGCTAATTAATATATAATAAAAGTGGTGTAACCAGGGGGGGGGAGGTTGGGGTAAGTCTTCATAATGGTTTCCCCGTACTCCAACAAATTCTGATAAAGTGAGGCCACTGTAGCAGACAAGACAAAGGGGTTGAAGACTAGCACATATGCATTAATGTAGAGGGGTAGGGCTATCACCAAAATTCTGTCTCGCCATCTAGAAAGTACTAAAAGGGTAGCTCTGTGCAGGCAATTAGCATGAATGCAGGAACCACAGCAAAGAGAAATATAATTAATTAAAACGTCACTTTTTAAAAAGTGACGTAAGCACATTATATACACATGACTGGACAAATCTGAATATTTTCTATTTTAAAGAACACTTATAAGAAAAATAAAAAGAGCATATAGATTGAATTCACATCTGCTTTTGTACTTACACCAGAGGACTGTTGATTCTGAGACAATGCTAAGCGAGCATGGCCTCTTCGAATTCGGCGTTCAACCTCTGCGAGCAAAGTCTGTAAATAGCGAAGGAACTCTCTTTCATAGCCTACTTTCATGAATCGAGAACTCTTCTCATACCTGATAATATATATATATTTAATTAGACTTTAAACAAACACCATCTACACATAGGGAAAATATATGGCAAATATACACACACAAGGAATATGATCATATAACTAAAGATTAAAATAGGAGAAATGCTTGTACAGTGGTGCCTCGCATAGCGATCGCTCCGTTTTACGACAAAATCGCTTTGTGATGGACTTTTTGCCATTGCAAGAGTGATCGCTTTGCGATGGCCCCTATGGGGAAATTCACTTTGCAATGATCGCGGGGAAGCGATCATTGCAAAGCCCCCATTTTTGGGATGATTGCGGGGAAGTGATCATCGCAAAGCCCTGCAGATCAGCTGGCCGAAAATGGGGGCTTTGCGATGATCGCTTCCCCGCGATTATTGCAAAGCCCCCATTTTCGCACAGCTGATCGGCGGTTCCAAAATGGCGGCTGCTGTTTTGCCTCGCTTTAGAGGCACCCAAAATGGCCGCCGCTATGGAGGAATTTCGCTTAAGGTTAGTTTCTAAGCCCATAGGAACATATTAAACACGTTTTAATACGTTCCCATGGGCTTTATAAAATCGCTTAGCGATTAAATCACTTAGCGCCGTTTTTTCCTGGAATGGATTAACGTCGCTACGTGAAGAACCATTGTATTGGTGCTATGTTTAGTAGTCATAAAGCCCAACTCACTGTTTTCTGAGGTTTTCATCATGAATTTTTTCACATGGGCCTAGAAACACAGAATAAACATAAATTTAAGTGCTTTTCTGCTATCAGTAAACAAAAAAAAAAACACCTAAATTTTCTTCTGTAAGATACTGTAATTACTAAACAAGAACACACTGATAAGGCAATACTAGTAAGCAAGTACTGAAAATCTTCTCTACTAATTAACTAACATTTTTCTAAATATGTATTACTTTTGTCATCAGGCTGACATAATGATACAATGAGTATAACATGACCAATATTCAAGTGACACATTAAAAAGCATAGCTGAGATTTTAAAATTTACAGTTAATATGTTCCAAGACAAAAAAAAATTGAGAGCTGCTTTCAAGTCTAAAGAAAGTAAAACTCATGTGTACACCTCTGAATGCAGTTGGTTTAATATCTATTTCCTGCAAATATGTATGGGACTGGTAATAAATAGTTCAAGAACAAGCACATTACATTCTTACAACAGGTATTAAAGCCATGAAAACAGCAGCATAAACATTAAAGCTCACACTTGTGAATTAAAGTGGTTTTCAGAAAAAGGCTGAACTGAACTGATCTTACTAGTCCTTTCTTCCAACATTCTGATTCTCAACTTCTGCACTGACGCTACTTTATAATACAGTTTTACAAAATAGCTGTGTGCTGCATTGCACTAGCGTATCTTAGCATGCCATACATTATGATTTTGCATAATCATACAACAAGAGTGGCTGTAATGTTGTTATTGCTAGACATGAAACAAAGGACAGGCACAAATCAGAAAAATGGTGAGTCATTTTTAATTTGTGATTTGCAACATTGAGAAATCATGAATTACAAATTAGTGACTTTTTCCTGACCAATCATATTTTTTTACTTTAAAACCCCATAAAATGCCCCCCCAAGTACCTAGAGACACCAGATTTACACAGAAGCTTCTCCTGACTCTCCTCTACAAGTCCTGCGTATTTGGTGAAGTTTAGGTTTTGGATGTCCGAGTTACACACTCACAAGGACGGTACTCTCATGAAAAGTTCCCCCCAAGCACCCAGAAACAACAAATTCACACAGAAACTTCACCTGATTCTACTTTAAAATCACTTCAAGTATGGTGAATATTGGGCTTCAGATGTCCACATTATGCACCTACAAAGTGGGTCCCTCCAGGAAAGTACACTTCAGCAGTTGGCTTGGGGAAAATCCACTCTTCACCAAACATGGAGGGATTGTAGAGGAGAGGCAGGGAAATCTTCCCCACAATTTTGGTGTCTCTAGGTCCCTGGACGGCCATTTTATAAACAAACGAATCAACAAATCAAAATTGCTAAACATTCATTTATTCATATTTGTCAGGGACATTGATTTGTATGAACATGAATCAACAAATCAGCAATTTTTTAACAAATTTGGTTATTTGTTTTTTAATTCATGCCCAACTCTACCTGAAACCTTGTATTGCGTAGAAGGCTATTCAATCTGATAAAGTTTAGTGATTACAGAATAAGCTTTATTTGAACAGAAGATCAGAAAGATTATTGCTAAGGCTATTTGCAAAGACAAGGAAATCTACATTTCCATACTTCAATTCATACTAAATATAACCAATTGCAATTCCAAGTTTAGAACATAACCAGTTACAAACTTGAACAAATCTAGTCTTTTAGCTGTGTTCATCAGATAAAATTTATGTGGGGAAAATATATGTACCCCCCCCACAATAAAAGTTTAACTGAAATAAAAAAGTTTATGTCCTGAACAATTGCCGTATTGTCCGTGTATAAGATGACCCACACTTTCCCAACCCCAAATAAGAAAATTTGATCACTGCTTTCCCCCTCGACTTCCTAAGCCCCGCGAAAGCAAGATCTAAGGGCTGCGGAAGTAGAGCGGTAAAGCAGCTATGAAAGGGGTGCATGATCAAAGGGCTATGATCCTGCAGTGCTCTGATCCCTTCCCGCCTAACTTCCATGTAGAGGGCGACCCTCAATTTTTACTCTATTTTAGGAAAAAGCATCTTCTTATACACAGAAAAATACGGTAGTAGCAACAATCCTTAATCCTGCATTTCATATTTGGTATAACACAAGCGAACATACACACACTTACCCAAGTCGGAACGTGTATTCGTAAATAACTCTGCTGGACAAAACCCACAAAGGTAGTATTTACAGACCTGATAAGAGAAGAAAAGGCTTAAAACACTGTCTTTTTTAAAAATCAGATTTGAAAGGACAAAAGTATAGAACAATAAAGTGACTTATTCTTACTTCCATCTCTTCTAAACCTTTTCCCAGTCTTATTCAGTACAACTGAGTACTTATTTTTCTTGCATATAAATAATGAGGTGTCACAGTCATTAAATATCTGGTTAAGTCATGCAACTTTTTGTTCTAGTTTCCCTCCTTATAAATATTGCATATTTGTTGTCCAAGTATGGGTTTTTATAACTAAAAAAATGCATCCCCAAAGGAACCCTTGCTTTATGGGACCCAATAGTAGGCATCACTGAAGTGTGGGGGAATGCCATAAAGAAGTGAACAAAGCTCAGTGATAGCCCAACAGTCCTCTTTATCCCTTCATTAACTCTTCACAAGATTTATAACAACTAGAGAACTAACTACAACCAATCTGGTAAAGGTGCCGTGTTTCCCTGAAAATAAAACAGAGTCTTATATTAATTTTTGCTCCAAAAAACGCATTAGGGCTTATTTTCAGGGGATGTTTTATTTTACAGTCATGTCATCTGGTTGCCGCACAATGATGGAAGGCGGGATTTCACTTAACTGGGGTTTATTTTGGGGGGTAGGGCTCATATTACAAGCATACTGAAAAATCATACTAAGGCTTATTTTCAAGTTAGGTCTTATTTTGAGGGAAACAGGGTAAGTACAAAGAATTTGATGAGAATATGTGCATTCCCCTCACAGGTTATCACCATTTAGAAAGAAAAAAGCAGTTCAGAAGTCCTGAAGGAATGAGGTGATCAGCATTCATCTCCACAGACATACTGTTAACTTCCAGCAGCCACATTCCCCTGAATGTCTTCAGCATTTATTTTGTATATTGACTTAGGTGTTCTCTGTGCAAAAAGTGATGTGCTATATGAGTCTGCAAATCTCATTTGGGAATTATGTCCTCCACACCACACGTGCTATTCACCCTTTAAGTATAACAGTTCAATGTACATGTCCCACAGGGATTTTAGACTTTTTTAAGATAAAAGTCTTTGCCAAGAACACATAATCAATGAATGCTGCATTACCTGAATTATAATAAACTGCCACATACCACCATACTATTGAGAAGACAATACACACATCTAATGCAGATTTGGACAGAGAATACAGGTGGTTTGAGGGAGGGGTCCAGGAGGCCATGCATGTGCATATAGAAAATCTCTCACTCAGCAGGGGTGAAATCCTTAGATACAATCTATCTCCTATTTATCAAGTTGCCCTTTCATCGATTCTCAGAAAGCTCAGGACCACACACACCAGAAAGACCACTGTTAACACCCCATCATAATGGGTAGAGGACTGCAGAGGTGAGATTTTCACTCACCCCACCTCCCTGTCCATTGTACTGTACATCTAATGAGCCTATTCAGACCAGGGGGAAGTGAAACCAACATGGAGAATATATCAGGGGTTTCCTACCAACTCTCCTCAGACTGAAAAGCTACTTGGAGGGTAGTGAAATGTTTCAACCTAATAAGAAAGAAGTCAAGCTGTCATGACTCAAACTTCCAGATAATCTCACCTGGATCTGAGAACCTGTTTATCTCTACAGAAGACCATGGACTCTCATAAAACTGAGGCTACCATGAAAGGACTAATGAACCTTTTATACAACTTTTTAAAGGAAAAAATGATATGAACACATTGTTTCATTATAAAGAGTTAGAATTTATAATCCTTACTTCCCAATGGGTTATTTGGGCTATAGTCACCTTTAAATCAGTGTTAACATCACATGTTTTCCCCCCTAAAACAAAAAGCACTGCAACAATAAAAACTTTTAAAAAATCGGACAGAAACTTTTAAAATTTAAACGTTAAAAAAAACTACCAAAACTTATTTAGTTTAAAAGCTGATTTTTATCCACTTTGCTAAAGTCATGTGTTTTTACTGGGTGTAGGCAGCTTCTATCTCTCTGAGAATGAGGTTGATTCCTTCAGGGCAGGATAGCCAACCCTGAGATGCTAAAAGAACAACCTTTCACAATCCAATGGCAGAGTCAAGAATAAGACTATGGAGAAAAGAGTGTATCATTCCGAGGAGATGGGAAATGATTCTTTTTAAAAAGCCCATTTCTAGGGAGTGAAACTAAAATTTGATCATGCCACAGCTATGTTTGGGAGATGTAAGGGCTTTTAGAAGTAGGTAACTTGATCATCAAAGACATAACACTAGTGGGAAGGTAAACTACAGTGGTGCCTCGCAAGACAGGCGCTCCATTTAACGACGAAACCACTTGGCGTCGATGTTTTTGCGATTGCAAAAGTGACCACAAAACGATGTTCCCTATGGGGGAATTTTGCTTTGTGATGATCGGTTCCCTGCTTTGGGAACCGATTCTTGCAAAGCAATGATTTTTAACAGCTGATCGGCTGTTTCAAAATGGCCGCCAGGTAAACAAAATGGCCACACGCTGTTTTGTGGGACGGATTCCTCGCTGCACAGGCAGTGAAAATGGCCACGCTATGGAGGATCTTCGCTGAACTGTGAGTTTCCAGCCCATAGGAACACATTAACCGGGTCTTAATGCGTTTCTATGGGCTTTTAAAAATCGCTTTACAATGTTTCGTTCTACAGTGATTTCGCCAGAACAAATTAACGTCGTAATGCAAGGCACCACTGTATATAACTTTTCAGCTGGTGCAGAGGATGTAGATGCCATACACATTTTAGATAACCTAATCAATCACGCTGGAGCACCAAATGAGGAAATGCAGTTGAGTGGTCCTGGAACACAAATTCAGGTGCAAGATAATACCTCCAAGGTTGTTATCTCTAAAATGCTACCTGTTTTACAACAGGTTCAGGTTAAACTTAGGGTCTCCAGGTGTGCAAGAGATGAAGGTGTAGTGAGGAGACATTCCAGTTTGTCAGAAACAATCCTGTACAAAAGGGACTGACTCCACTGAAATGTACTGGACCACAGGCCTAAACATCAAGTAGGTGGTTTAATTTAAGAATGGCTTTCAAACATATCCCTTGAGAAAGCCAGGAGGATTTAGAGGTTATTCAGCAGTAGTACTATATAACTTCAGTATCTAATGTAAAGTGGATGAAGCCATATTTTGTTCATTAAGGAAAAGTAACATTTTCAGATATTCTAAACAAATATTTTATTTATTTATTTATTTATTTGATTTATATCCCGCCCATCTGGTAAGTCGGTACCACTCTGAGCGGCTAACACAGAAAGTATACAATTATAATAACATAAGTCCAAAATATCAATAACAGAACATAATAATCATAAATAATAAATAGGAAAAGAAGAGAGAAATAATTTAAATTAGCTTAGATGCTGGCAGGTGGGAAGGCCTTGACATAAAGCCATGTTTTTAATTGAGTTTTGAACGTACCCAGTGAAGGGGCTACGCGAATCTCAGGAGGGAGATTGTTCCAAAGGCGAGGCGAGACTGCCGAGAAGGCCCGGTTTCTTGTCTTCTCCCTCCGGGCCTCCCTCGGCATCAGGCTCCTCAGCCTCACTTCCTGGCTCACGCGGGTGGTTCGGGTAGAACTTGGTGGGTGAAGGCGTTCTGCCAAGTATCGAGGTCCCAAACCGTTTAGGGCCTTATAAGTGAGCATTAAAACTTTGAAGTCGATACGGAAACGAATGGGCAGCCAGTGCAGTCTAGCCAGGATGGGAGAGATGTGATGATATTTTCTCCCTCCGGTGAGGAGTCTGGCTGCTGCATTCTGCACCATCTGAAGTTTCCGTATCAGCCTCAAAGGTAGCCCCACGTAGAGCGCGTTGCAGTGATCTAATCTTGATATTACGAGTGCGTGTACTAAGGTAGTGAGGGCCCCCGTGTCGAGATAGGGCCGCAGCCGGGCAATCCGCCAGAGGTGGAAGTAGGCGGAGCGGATGACCGATGTCACTTGTGTTTCCATGGTGAGCGTCGGGTCCAAATGTATGCCCAAGCTGCGGACCCCGCTCGCCGGGGCCAAGGTCGCCCCCCAAAAGAGAAAGGGCCAACCAGACCACCAACTACGGGGGGGCCCACCCTTAGGACTTCCGTCTTGTCCGGGTTCAGCTGCAGGCCGTTTTCCTGCATCCATTCCAGTATAGTCTCCAGGCAGCGCTGGAGGGTCAGGACGGCATCACCTGCAGTTGGTAAAAAGGAGATGTAGAGCTGGGTGCCATCAGCATACTGATGACACATCGCTCCACACCCTCTGATTATCCCAAAGAACAGCTGGTTATGAAATTTACCAAAGGTGACAACCTTGGGTTTAGCTCTATGGAAATAGAGGCCCTAGCCCAAGATGTATTATGAAATCACAGAGCTATCAAATTTAATTTCTACACAAACAGAAATCTAAAATAATAATACTTGATTTCAAAATAGCAAAATTCTCCAAATTGAGGAAATCAATAAAAAAGAAAGTGAAACTGAAAGAATCATATGTTGAAACATGCTTGTGGAGGGAGGGGAGGGGAAGTTTACTTAAAAACACAATTATAGAAGCTAAGCTATAATACAGACAACACTACACTAAAAAGATAAAAAGACAACTCCTCTATTAAGACACCTTCCTAGCAGTAATTTATTTATCAAAAGACCCTCTAAAAGAAAAGTTTTAGCCTGCTGGCAGAAAGACAACAGAGAGAAGGCCAGCTTCATCTCCCACAGAAGGGAAATCCACAGCCTGGGAGCAATCACTGACAAGGTCATCTTTCACAACTACACCAAACATGCTTGCAAGGATGGTAAGACCAAGAGAAAGACCTCTCTTTTACCAAAGGTGCACTGATTAAATAGATAGCTAAATAAACATATTTAATGAGTCTATTAACTGGATTTAAACAAAAATATACTGTATTCCTGTTTGTGAATGTATGATGTAATCATACATGGAATACTATTTGTAGTTCTGGCCACTAAACCTCAAAAAGTACTGGAAAAGATACAGAAATGGGCAACTTAAATTATTAAAC